AAATAGGTTATCAATTCTAACAAATTTCTAGTCATATCGTTTATTATTTAAATTCATATATTTGTTGCAGTCATTTGCAACAAAACTAAAATAATTTTTGCAAACTTAGGAATCACTTTTGTGATTATTTAATTTAATATATTGTCGTGGACATTTGCAACACAATTTAGTGAAAATTATTTTTGTTGTGAAATTATGTGACAAAATATAAAAAAGTAATATTTTTTATGTTATATATATTTATTGTAGAAATTTGCGACAATAAAATTCTATATTTTATTTCACTTTATTTACAGTACTATTATGTTTTGACAATATATTATATACTTTTTTTTAAAAAGATAACTATATATATTTTTTTTATTAGAAAAAAGATAACTATATTTAACATTATAAAAATTTGTCGCGAACATTTGCAAAAACTATAAAAAAATATATAAAATTTTAAAAATTATTAATAATATTTAGTAAAAAATTAGAAAAAATATTATTTTCGTAAATTATACTTTTCAGAATAATAATTTATTCAAAAACTTTATGATAACTAAAAAAATAAAAAATAAAAATATTGTTGCGAAATATCGAAACAAATTAAAGTAATAAATAAAAACATTGTCACGGCAAACCGCAACAATATGTAAGGTGTATTTTATTAAACTTGTTGTCTTGAGCAACTGCAACAATGCATACAAAAAATAAGCTACAAATTTGAAAACAATAAATTTATTATTTGTTTATCGCGGACAACCGCAACAATGTATTGGAAATAATTTTTATTTAAAACTATTGTCGCGGGAAGTTGCAATAAATTATAAAAAAATAAATTTATTTCTTGTTTGTTGCGGCATTCCGCGACAAATAAGAAAAATTAATTATTTTAACAAATATTGTTGCGGAAGTCCGCGATAATTAATTTATATATAACTTTTATTAAATTTTCATTAAAAGTTGTGATAACATATTATTCTACAATAAAATTTTTCGCGACAATATCATATTTTTCTTGTAGGGTAAATTATATCCAACTTTAATTTATTTTTACATTATAACCTAAAAATACATATTTTATATTTATTTAAAAATTACATATATCCAAAATAATTATATTTATTTCAAAACAAAAAATTACATATTATTATTTTAAAATTAAAATACACATTACTTTTAAAAAATAAAATTATATCTCACTTTTAAAAAATTAGAACTATACATTATTTTTCAATAAATAAAATTACATTTCATTTTCTTAAAAAATAAAATTATACTACTATTTTATTTTTCAAAAATAAAAAATAAAATTACACAAAATACTCAACTCAAAAAATGGAAAAACCGGGATTGCATTGGAGCCCAAACCCTCCAAATTCAACACAATTAATTTTTATTGTAATGAAGTTAGTCTAATACTAATATTTGGTAAAATTTGTTAACTCAATATTTGTATGATATTTATCTATTTTGGATCGAATTCGCATAAATTTATTTTTTTAACTTCTTCCAAAAAATTCCATACTAATAGAATAACATGTGGATTTACAAAATATTTTTATGATTTAAAATATTTACAATTTTTTGTACTTTATACCTTTAAAAATATGTATATATATGTATATGGTTCATGGAATCATTATATAAACAAAATCAATAAATATAAGTATATAATGATAAAAAAAAATTAAAAAATTATACTCCCTCCGTCCTAGTCTCCTAGATAAGATGGACGCATTACCGTAGATACGAAGATTTATGTAAAGTATAATTACTCAGTAATTAAGAAATATATTAGTAAAAATAATAATTATTTAGTAAAAATAATTATAGATTAAAATTAAGATAACTAAATAATTTAATTAAGATTAAAAAAAATTAAATTTTAAATTTTAAAATATGATTAAAGTGTATAATTAATTTTTTTTTTAAAAAAAAACAAATTATATGGGAAAAATAAAAATAAAAAATAAGGACAAAATAAGTTGAAAGGGAATAGTAGTATATATCAACACTTCTATCGTGATTCACAATTATATGTCCTCACCCAATCTTTGAATTAATGAATATAATTTGGTGTACCAAAAGATTTAAATCTAGTTATATCTTCTAGGAGAATCCTTGCACGTTACACATGATCATTTTAAAATAAAATATTTTCTCCGTCCTATATCTATATATTTATTTGCTTTTCGTACGGAATTTCATTATTATATTAAAATAAAGTAGAAATAAAGATAAAAAGATTAAATTAACCCTATTAGTACTGTATGATATAAAAGTAATGACATTTGTGTAATATATTGTAAATTTAAAGGGGATTTATAATGTTAAATAGATAGTACAATTATTAAAAAAATAAAATAAATACTTTGTTACGGGACATTCCAAAATAAAAAAAATAAATAGATTGTTAAGAGACGAAGAGAGTATATTTCCCAACTACATTATATAAATATAAAACATATAATAATAAATATTCATATATTATCTACTATGTTCATTCAAGACCATATACTTACCACTTATATATTTTATACAATGCTATTTAATTTAAAGGTAAAATGTTTTTTTTTAATCTAATTCTTTTAACATTTTTTTCGTAACTAGAGGATGTCACAAAATAATTCCGTAAATAGAAATTTTTTGTAATTTTAGTTCTCTAGTACCGGAAATGTGTGCATGATATCCGCGTGGCTCGCCGGAGGATACGTGTCCACCAGATAAGCAACACTTTATATTTTCTCCGTCCGGTAAAATTAAAAATATTTGGATCTGATACGAAGATTAAAAGAAAATATAATATTAAATAAATTAATAAAAGAAAAAAAATTTGTTTAATGTATTTTTAAAATTTTGATTAGTAGTTAATGATGACCAAAAAAAAAAAAAAAACACAATAAAAAAGTTGTAACACTTATAGTAAATAAGTGTGTTAAAAATTTGACTATGTAAAAATTAATAACAAACTAAATTTAAATGAAAAAAAAAAAAATAAAAGTAAATTTGACAGAGAAAAAATAATATTTATATGTAAGTTGATTGTAGTGTTATAATACTTCTTTAAGTTATTTAAATTTATTATACTCCTTCTCAGTCTCAATACAATAGTCTTCTTTACCATTTTTATTCGTCCTAAAACAATAGTTTTATTTCCATAAATAACCATATTACCATAAAACTACCTTTACTTTTTCATTTTTATTACACAATTACCACTATTTTTTACACTAATACACTCACAATGACAAAAAAATCTTTTATTCATACTTTTTACCCACTGCCAATATAATATCAATATTCCTTAAATCTCGTATCCAACCCAATTAAAATTATATTTATGGGACATATGGAGTAATCTTTTTTGTTGTCATCTAAGGGTGTGTTTTTTCCGCGCAGTTTTGGATTGGATTACTGTGCAAACAGTTCCGCCCAAAGTAGATGGGTTTTGATGGACACGACCTGACAGACGTTCAATTTTTTTTAAAAAAAATTATAATAATTATAATTTAATAAAATACATACAATATATATGTTATTTTGTAAAAAATAATTTTTTTTATAATACAAATATATATGTAGATGTAATATAAATTTATAATCAAATTATACAAATTAATACATATTTATATTATTATATTCATTCTCATCAAAGTGATACATATCAAAACTCTCCAAACCCAAACCAAACCTAAATACAAAAGAAAACATAAATTCAAATTCACCTCAAAATTCAAATAAAAATCAAATTTAAATCCAAAATTTCCTAAATCCCCTAAAAAACACACTCTAAATTTATTTTCCTTTCATTGTTTAGTAAAAAAATACTCTTTTTTATTTTTTACTTTTACCTTAAAAATTTAAAAATTATATTATCTATTTTTTTTTATAAAAAATTTGTGTCCGATCAAATAAACACACATTTGATGATGGAGTGAATAATATACTCCATCTGTCTCACTTAATTTGTACCATCTTTTTATTTCCGTTTATCCAACGTAATTTAATTATTTATTTTTTAAATATAATTATACACTTTAATCACATTTTTAAAATTCATAATTTATAATTTTTTGTTTTAATTATACTATATAATTATTTTAATCTTAATTTATAATTACTTTTATTAAATTATAATTATTTTTACTATTATTTTTTATTGATTTACTAATTACATAATATTTAAAATTTCGCCCATGAACCAAATAAAACAATTTAGATAGGAGGGATAGACTATAAAATATGAGTAACTTTTAAAATTATATAAAAAAATACAATTACAAAATATACTCTCTTAATCCCTTAATAATCTATCTATTTTTCCTTGGTCCGTCTTATAACAAAATATTCATTTTTTTTAAAATAATTGTACCATCTACTTAACATCACAAATACTTTTTCAATTTATAATATATTAAACAAATATTATTATTTTTATATGATAGAATACTAATAGAATTAATTTAATCTTTTTATTTTTATTTTTAATTTATTCTAATATAATACTAATATTTTTAAAATTTTATGTAAAAAATAAATTAATATATATATAATATGGAGAGAGATATATATACACACAGATAGATTGATTTGGTAATTATAAAAAATGACAAGAAATGAAGTGACAGATGAAATAAATCAAACAGTGAGCGGGTATTCACTGCCACCACACCATCATCATTATTATTATTAGGACTCCGTCTGTGTGTAAGATTGTTACACGACAATTTAGATAAAATATAATTAGTAATTAATTAAAAAATATATTATTAAAAATAATTATTATTTAATAAAAATAATTATAAAATTAAATTAAGATAAATAAATAATTTAATTAAAATTAAAAAAATTATAAAATTTAAAATAAATTAAAATATATAATTATATTTTTTTAAAAAAAAAACAAATTACTTTTTAAGTGGAATGAAGGGAGTATTATTATTTTTATTTCTTCGTAATAAGAATCAGAATTCAGAAATCACCACTGCAACAACTAATTTTAACTCCATGAAATGAAACCCTCCGCCATTACCGCTCTCACTTCACTCCTCTTCCTCTCCGCCGTCGCCTCCTCCGACGAGCATCGCCGCCGCGAGAATTTCCTCCGATGTCTGAACACATTCACCGGCGGCGGCGAAGCCTCCCCAATCTCCCACGCCGTCTACACTCCGACCAACTCCTCCTTCAATTCGATCCTCCAATTCTCCATCAACAACCTCCGATTCGCCTCGAAATCCACTCCCAAACCCGCCGCCATAATCGCCCCGGACCACGAATCCCAGGTCCCCGCCGTCGTCCGGTGCGCCAGGCAGAGCGAGCTCCAGATTCGGACCAGAAGCGGCGGCCACGACGCCGAGGGGCGGTCCTACGTGTCGCAGGTCCCGTTCGTGGTCCTGGATCTGATAAACCTGAGCGAAATCGAAGTGGAGGTGGAGGAGAAGACGGCGTGGGTGGGGGCCGGATCGACGATTGGGGGTTTGTATTACGCAATTGCGGCTCGGAGCCGGAAATTAGGGTTTCCGGCGGGGATATGCTCGTCGGTGGGGGTGGGGGGCCATTTGAGCGGCGGGGGGTATGGGTGTATGCTTAGGAAATATGGATTGGCGGCGGACAACGTTGTCGGTGCGAGAATGGTGGACGTTAATGGAGACATTTTGGAGAGGGGCAAAGGAATGAGTGAAGATGTGTTCTGGGCCATTAGAGGAGGCACAGCTGCAAGCTTCGGTGTCCTCCTAGCATGGAAGGTATTCAATTCACTGTCTATCTTTTTATAAAATATGTTGCATTAAATGTTTATTATTATTATTATTTTTATTATAAAATTTAAAATACATAAAGAAAAAAAAAAAAGTTAAGATCTTTTTTTTAAAAAAATATCAATTTACATGAAATTTTAAGGATGTGTCCTTCAAAGTATTTTTTTACTCCCTCCGTCTCATATAACTTGAGCTTATTACTGATTTACTGTAGATATGAGAATTTAGATAAAATATAATTAGTAAAAATAATTATTAATAAATTATAAAATTTTTAAAATTTAAAATGTGATTAAATTTTATAATTATATTTTTAAAATAGAAAAGACAAATTATATAGGACGAACGAAAAATAAGAAATATGGACAAATTATATAGGACTGTGGGAGTATTATTTTTATCTTTTTTATTTAAAATTATTCTTTTATTATTATAGTATACATTAATACCAGATATTTTTAAATTTTATATAAATTATAAACATACATACATATATACACATAAGGAAAAATTGCAAAAAAATCTAATATGATTTTCGAAATTTGCCAAAAAAATCCCATATTCCTAAAATTCCATTTTACATACTCGTAGTTCAGATAATGTTGCAAAAACTACCTCATTCGTTAGTACTTCTCGGAATGTAATAGACGCGATTAAACTGCAATTATTACAAATTCATAGATAATACGAGAGGAAGTTACCAAAATACCCTATGGGTGCGTTTAAATTATGAGATTATGGTGAATAATACTATTTTTTTCGACCTAATCTCATATTTACTTTAATGTATTAGAGTCCTATGTATATAAAAGTCCGTTACAATTATATTAATTTATAAGATTATTAATATAATCTAACCCCTAGTATTGCTTAATCCTACTTGCTAAATTATCTGAATTATCATTCTCTTCAAACACTTATAAATATTTTTGTTTAATATATTTTGATTTCACTTTAAATGTAAATTATATATTTTAAAAAATTTTAATCACTAACATGAAGCCATAAGAATATTATAAAATATGTTATGAAAACTTAATTTATAATTTTGAAGACAAAAATAAATATATTTAATAAATAATAAATATATCAAATTATATATATAGATATTTGTTATGAAAATAACTCAATTAAATTTTAATAATATTATATATTATATTGCTATAATTAGAAAGAAAAATAAAATAAAATAAAATAAATTATATTACAATAATTTATGATAACATTATTAAGAGTATTTTGGATAAGAAAAATAATCATACCATTGATTAAATAATCTATTGAAATAATCTAGGTATTATAATACAATCCTTCAAAGTAAACACACCCAATATGTATTGTTAAAACTAGTTTCCTTTCTCTCGTATTATCTATGAATTTATAATAATATTCGGTGTCTACTACAATATCTATTAAATACTAACGGGTGCGATAGTTTTTACAGCATTATTCGAATTATAAGTTGGTAAAACGAAATTTTAGAACAAGATGGTATTTTCAGCTAATTTTGCAAACCATGAGGAACTATTACCACATAAAGTAAAAATAAGATATCAAACACTTTCATACATTGTTCGCCAAGTGTGTCTTTCTCGTCGGGTCTGGTTTGCAGGGTATTAGGTTCGGCCAGGAGTTTACCCAATGTGCACTTTCAGGTAGCGACTGCAGGTTCCCACGTCATAAGAGAAAAAAAAAGATATCACACACTTTCACTAATTGATAAATATTAGAATTATTTTTTAATCTATTACAAAATTTTAAATGATCCATTTGGGTTGTGGAAGAAGAACTATATATATAAAATAGTTTTTGTTTTGAGGTTGAATTTTTAATAACAAAATTTTGAATTAAAATAATTATTTTATGTAATACTCTCTCCGTCCCATATCTATATATTCATTTACTTTTTGCCCGGAGTTTTATAAATATTAGTATTATATTGAGATGTAGTAGAAATAAAGGTTAAAAAAAAACTAAACTAAACTTATTAGTATTGTATGATACACAGGTAATGACATTTATGTAATATATTGTAAATTAGAAGAGTATTTGTAATTTTAGGTAGATAACACAATTACTAAAAAAAAATGGATACTTTGTTATGAGATAAATCAAAATTGAAAAATAGATAAATTGTTAAGGGACGGATGAAGTATAAATATATATATATATTTTGATATAAATTTAATTTTTAGTGTAATATAAAACAAAAAATTTAGCATTCAATTTCATTTTTTTAAAAAAAAAAATTAAAATAATAAAATCCAATCCCAAAAAAACAAACTCACTTTTCTCACGAAATATTAAATTAAACCAAAAATTAAAATTCAAACCTTAGTTGTATTATGTATATTTGTTTAGGATTCTGAAAATTTAAATTTTAAAACATTTTTTAAAGTATAACTAATTATTTTAAAATATTAATATATCACGGACATTTATTATAATATATTTCATATACAATTTTTTATACCTTATATAAAATATATTTTTTCAAATTTTTTCACTAAACAAACACGCCCAAAGTTTGGTTGCGGTATAAATTGATTTGATATTGAATGTTGATTTTCAATTGTTTGTTTAGATAGTAATTGTAGTTGCTGTTTTTTGAAAAAAGAAAAAATTAATACATTTTTATTGAAACGTAGATGATAAATAGTACTCTCTCCATCCAGTTATACATATTTCTATTTTAGAACGTTCAATTAGTGAATATTTCATTAAATACCTATTTTTTAAATTATAAACAATCAAATACAAAAACTGTTATAATTTTTTGTTTAATGGTAAAGCAAGCAATATAGATGATGTTTTCAATTAAAATGAAAACCAGCACATGCTAAATAAAGATATACTTGAGATGTAAATATATATATATATATATATATATACTTGAGATGTAAAATTTTAAAAAATAAATATCATGTACTATTAAACAAATTAATAGTAAAAATAAATAAATAATTGTGTTTTTGGACGAGGTTTTTGCATTTAAGAATAATAAAAATTGAATTAAAATGGTTCAAATATTTATTTAAAAGTATTGATCAAATATATATCTATTTTCTCCTCGAAACATTATATCAAATATATTTTTTTTTAAACTTTAAAACATCAATGTTTATTTGTTCAATAATCTCTTTTCGATACGATTCTCAATATATGTATATATATATTTTTTTTATTACCTCACAAAAATTAACTTTAGCATTATTATTATTATTATTATTATTATTTTATCAATGCGATTACACATACTTCACATAATAAAAAAAAAAAAAAGATCAAATCAAAACACTAAACAAATAAAAGAGAGTCTCTAATTTTTTACGGATATATTTTTTGTATCGTGTTTTTTAAAATTCCTTTTATATCTAATTCTCTATTTCATTAGGTACAATTGGTAGATGTCCCTGAAAAAGTAGTTGCTTTTTCAATAAGTAGAACCTCGGAACAAAATGCAACTCAACTTATTCATCGATGGCAATACATTGCTCCAAAGATCGATCACAATCTATTCCTCTTAACTGTAATCAGCCGCGACCATTCGAAACAAGATGCGATCCGCGCCTCATTTCTTGCAATATTCCTCGGTGGCGTGGATCGCTTGCTAATGTTGATGAACGAAAACTATCCTGAATTGGGTTTGGTTCGAGAAGATTGCACTGAAATGTCTTGGATCCAATCTACCGTAGTCTCGGCTAGTTGGTTCGGATATCCCAAGGGACCTCTAGAAGTGTTGCGCAATAGAAGAGGTCGTGCTATACCATACTTCAAATCACAAACCGATTACATTCAAGAACCAATTTCGGAAAAGGGTCTCAATCGAATATGGAGAACTCTTTATGAACAAGAAGGTGCCGGAGCCGTAATTGTTTTGATTCCATATGGTGGTAGAATGGATGAAATTTCCGAATCATCGATCCCTTTTCCTCATCGGGCCGGAAACCTATACTCATTGAGCCCTATGGTATTTTGGGGAGAGGAGGAGGATCATTATTCACATCGATATATTGAATGGATACGAAGGTTTCATCGTACCATGACTCCTTACGCTTCGAAATCTCCACGAGTGACATATTTCAACGATAGAGATCTCGATCTTGGAGTTAATAATGATGAAGGGGATACAAGTTATGATCAAGCAAGTGTGTGGGGGTTCAAATACTTCAAAAACAATTTTGATCGATTAGTTCGAGCGAAAACCATTGTCGATCCGGAGAACTTCTTTCGAGAAGAGCAAAGTATTCCATCACTTCGGGAAGATGTTTGATTAGATTTCGTAGATGTAGATGGATTTGAATAAGATCTTGTATTGTGTCATCGATGTCATTTGTAAGAACTAGCTTATATGTAATTTTCATCCCTTTTTGTTAATACTTGTAGACAAACAACTTTGTATGAACATTATCTAATGTTTGTATAATTATATATAAATTATTATCTTGAAACACAACGAGTATTTAATAATATAGATGAGCATATTTATATAAATATAATATGATCTAACAACATACTACAATAATTTACACAAGACATATTATTATTAAATCTCATCGCAGAAAATATGTTAATACTACAATACGTATGTAAATAGGAAATTTCAACATATACTAACAATATATACACATGCTATAATAATTTAAGGTATGTATTGATAATCTATATTTTAAAAGCTAATTAAAGTTAATAACCACCCTAACCAATGAATAAGGTTAATTGGCATATATTTGAACTATTGTTGGTTCGCCAAATTGAATCGAACCTAAAAGTTTCTATTGCACTACAAAAAAATAGTATATTTGTAACGGAATTCCGTCACTAAAGATTTCACGTAGCTAACGTAATTCCATCATTAATTCCGTCTCTAATATCATTAGTAACGAAAAAAGTGAATTTAATGACGAAAAAATCTCGTTACAAAAATAATATTTTCTTGTAGTGTTGGGAAGGGGAAAACGTGCCCAAGCAATTTTTTGGAATAAATTTTGGTGGAATAAATTTAAAATATTACATATAACAAAGAAAATATTTAACATGAACAAATGGATCATTCTTTATATTGTATTTACGTAGTCTTTTATACTAATAGTATAGTCAAAATTTTCTGCCAAAAAGCATATGGAATTAGAGTCATTGCTTGAGAATCGCTGCTGTTTTAAAATCTTGTCAAACTGTTGTTGTTTTCAAATCTTGTGCCGCTACCTCTGTCTAGGAGTTCTTTGCCGCTTATTTCATTTGTCATTTAAGAATATTTCTGGTTTAAGGGCCGTAAATATGTAATGCATTTTCCTTTTTGATTTGTAATCTTTTGAGGCTTACCAAAATAAAATTGTATTGGCCCAAACTAGGTGCCAAGTCATAATATGATATCGCGGAGTAAGCTTTGAGAATGATAGAAAGGTCTGAAGAGTGACCTAAGTAGATCAGGTGGCAATCACGCTACATTCAACACATTATCCCGATAAGGCTTCAGAGGACGGAAGTTAGACTGTGAACTAGAAACAACAGAGGTCAAGGCCTCCACTAGGTTCGAAAAAAAGGGAATGTAACATCAATGCTGAGCTATCCAACTCTATTAGGAAGGTCAGGTAGGGGGCAACAACTGACTGATCAAAAGGCAACTGCTCTTGGAAGGTCGCAATTGGATTAGAAAGATCTGCACCATCAGCTTTGGGTCAGCCGAGAATCGAGGTTCAAGCATGTTTTGCCAAAGGGCGAGTCTTGTCCCGACCAACAGCCTCCTGCAACATCCGAAACGGCATAGGTCCTGGAGGATGAGCCGATAATTGAAGCGCTCGATTGTCATGAGCTATCTTAAGGCCAACTAATAAACACAACTATGAACAACCCAACTCGTCGAGTGCAGAATCACGGATGAGGCAATCAGGGGCGGCAAATCAACTGCAATGTGTTTTCAATGATATATAAGAATTTATTACAAAAATTGAAGTAATTTAATTTACAAAAGAATAAAATAAATTAAAAAAAATATGTACATCCTTGTAAGTCCACTCGATATTATCTTCGTTGAGTACCTGACCGAGAATCTTTTCTCCAACATTAGTTGGGAGGATAAGTGCGGTCTCCGGGACCATTACAAGGGTAACATATACCTTAACAATTGCTAAGGTATAACCTATATAAATATATTAAATGAGCGCTAGTTACGAGGAAAGTCTCCCTCTGTAAATCTGATGGATGAATATAATAAAATAAAAGTTACGTTTCATCTTGATCTATGAACCCTATCTTAAATACAAGTATAGCAATAACTCAACCCGAAAGCACTAATAAAATAGGCTGATCCCTTAACAATATGAATATAAAAAACGCAACATGGACCATAGGGGGTAACTTCCCTAACATAGATACTAATATTTATAAATCACCACAATCATAGATGAGCCAACCTAAGCATCTAAAAATATACCATATGGTGGCAATCCTTCAGCAAAAAAAAGAAAAAAAAAAAAAAAAAAAAAAAAAACATAGTCTCTCCAATAAAAGCATGCATATAGAGAAACAACCGGAAATGTAATAGAATGCATAGTGTGTAATGTAACAACAAGCAAATAAGAAACATAGCCACTTGGGGGTTAGTAAAAAATATATATATACAAATGCAAGAAACTGAGAAACACCGTCTTGCATTAGACACGGCCAAAAATACCGTTATAAAATAAGTGTTATTTAATTATTATGAAGTAACTAACATAAGGCCAACCATACAAATGCTCCAGTTTAATATTTTCTACTTGCAATAAGAGATAATAGGATTATTTTGAATATGTTTAAAAAATAATTTTCATAAAACAATACTTGTGGCAGAGATGCAAGGTTCACAGATAGCATAATCTGTAAACAAGAACTCATTTTATGGCAACCACAAATTGGATCAAAAGAAGACATTAAACAAAATACATAAATAAATAAGACACATGCCTCCCATTGGGTCGAATTTACATTATCCAAATATTGCAGACCCACAAAACCAAAAATAATAGCGGAATTATGTTTGTTGGATCTCTCCTAGAGGAAACTTAACTTCAAACCTGTATCTCCTATAAGTCCTAAGTATGGTGATGTACCACTATAATTTCAGATTGTTATGAACTTCAATTAACACCTTTAAAGGCCATAAAAAAAAAAAAAAGAATGAATAACTTACAGAAGTTGTTAGGCGAAAGCAGACACAGGTATAAGGATGGTCCTTTAGCCGTAGGTGATCTCCAAAGAAAATATCGACCTCCTATGCATCTTCACGCACAAATTTTTCTGCCACGGTGGACAGTTCCTATTGGAGAATAGGAAATATAGTGTGAATGCATAAACAAGTATATATCTACTACTCGCAGTAAACACATAAACTCAGAACGTGAGGGCATATAAATTATAAAAAATAAAGGTCAAATCAACTTTCAAAACCACCAAAATAATGTCAATGAAAGTCACAACACGTTTTTTTTTTTTCTTATTAAACAACTAGTAAATGAAAATATATTGAATTTTCCTATTAAATGTATCCATAATTAACATATATATAGAGAAAGATGCATAGTGAAGTAAACGATGCTATAATTTCAGGTATAGTCCTTTATACTTGCACATTGAAAGCCAACATGTTACTTGATCGAGAAAATAAAATCGAGCAAGCAGCTCAGAGGGAGCTCAACAAATAAAAAAACTTCAATTCATCACTAGATCATAGAAGAATAAAGTCAAAATTCTAAGCCTTTGTTCATCTTATTCTTTTTTTTTTTTTTAATTATGGCAGAATGTTTCCCAACATTCTATGACATTGTAAACAAAATGTATCGGACATAAGTTATGATGGCATCTATGTGGATGTATATATAACCATTTTAAAATAACCAAAATTTATCATCACAAGTTCAAATATTTCTAGCCGTTTAACCTGCTTGCTCTCTTAGTTGGTTGGCTCAATTATTCAATTAATTGCAGCTCAGCTATAAAATTTTTAAAATAAATAAATGGTCAAAATATAGTAACAATTCTATCTTTACAATCAGTGTGTTCTGTCCCATTAGTAATTTATCTTAGATAACTAAATCACACCATCAAAATAAGTGAATAATATCATTCTTAGTATTCCTCATGTACATCTTCGAATTTTCCAGCATTGGTAACAACTTTTCAAAAAGTGATCAATCAAAGAACAACTGAATTTGATCCCTAAACCAAATGAAAAAATAGCAAAATTTGACCATACGCTACTATTTCATAGGTTAGCATTCAGATATAGAACAATATTAACCAAACATACACCTTCCCTTCATAATACTTTACGTTTAATCAACTGTGATTTTTTTCTTTCTGAAGAACATAAATGCTCAGTTTCATGTACTGCCAAAAAAAAAAAATTATAGCAAAAATAGCATTACCTCTAGAATAAAATTAAAGCAGATAAACAATGTTCTTCATTTACAAGTAATCAGATATGAATATTCTTATAGCAGTTGCGATCAATATTCTGATAAATGTATTCAGGAGCAATAAAATAAAAGTCAATTTTCAAAAGTACATAAATAATTCGGGTCTGATGAGATCATTATCTTATTAAAGAAACATACCATGAATATTCAAGGGATATCTAGAGCTTCATCCGAGGGCTAACAGAATTCTTCACAATATTTGGAGATTCAGAACACTCCGGAGACCTTGATGAACTGAACCAGCCCTGCAAAGTTTTCATAGTAAAGCCAATAAGTGTAAGTGAATGGCAAACATATCCTGCTTAAACAAGATGGAGAAGAATCTATACCAACTAATCTACGTTAACAAAAATTAAACTAATTCACCTAGCAATTTAATAAATAAACATGCAATTGGCGAAGACAGAAAGAAACCCAACTCTAGCGAACCGAACTAATTTACCGCAGGCAGGATAACCATTAAAGGGATTAAATATTTAGCTTTAAAGTTTATACAATCCATAAAAATGCAGTATATTGTTAAGCTATACTAATGTACAATAAGAGTTTCTAAAACTTACAATTTAATACTCTTGTTGATCTCGTTGTAATATTGCAACATATGGTGTATGGTTTCTCCCGTATATCCAAAATGTATGCATCTATCCTAGCTTCTATTAAACTTCTTATCCTTGCAATATAAGTTTTTAATTATGTAGGCAGCTGATCCAAATGTTTTGACGTATTTAATTCCTTGTTAAAATTACCACAATGTGATTATAGGGAATGTAAACTCAATACATGTTTCTTGTTTATAAAGTTATAGCCCAACGAAGTTTATAATCTAAAGATATAAATGGTTACAATCGGGAAGTATATCTATAATTCTTACAGTAGTATGTAACTTGGATGCTGGCAAGATTAGCCCTTCTAATCCATGAGATGCATCATTTATCAATTTGTTTTTATCCTCTAAGTTTAGTGAAATGACACCCATGTTGCAATTGTTTTATTTCAGCCACTTCCCATGATTGTTTCGCTTGTTGAGGATATTGTTGTAGAGTATGTCACAGATACGGTAAGTCTTTGCTGATAAACTTCTTTATATCTTATACAATAGGTATTGTAGTCCCCTTGTCATTCATTATAGGAACATTGTTAATTATATACTATCAGGTCCATAAAACTGAAGATGTTGCATCCAAAAGGGGCAAACTATTAACAGAGGACTTTCTCTTTTTAATTGGAAAGGTATATTTAGCTGAAATTCTGTTGTGGATGATGTCCCTAATATTATCGTTTCCCAAATGATGAATACAAATGCTATTAAAATGCTTAAAAGACAAGGATGATTGTAGAATTTTCCGAAACTTAACCGTTGCACGGAATTGCTCTCAATGAATGAAGAACTTAAGCAAGCAAGGAAGACAATAGATGTAGAGAAATTAGCATATAAGGAGTAAGAAATGTTTTCGGTGTCTCATTAACCTTATTCTCATTAAATATTTCTATTTACTTATCAATGATTAAGGCTTATCACAATGTACTTGCTTATTTTGTCCAGGCTAATTCTCCTAGAGGGAATGAACCAGCTGCACTGGCACATGCAACAGAATGCGAACACTCTGTAAACTTTAAAGTTAAATTTTAAGATAAAGTTTGGTACATTTTCATAAGCTTTAGAAACTCTAGAAAATATTTTCATACTCAATAGAAATTGGTATATGATAATAATTGAAGTAAATAGATAAATGGTGTAAGGAATGGGGATGTGTACGTACTCCCCTGTCAACATTCTATACTTAATTTATAAATTAAATCCTCTTATATTGAGTTTAATACCTCAATATACATAGATATGCATAATGACATAGTCGAAGAAGTACACACTCACAACGGACAAACCAATTTCTGGTGAGTAGTTTGAGACAAAAAAACTACTTCTCCTTAAGCATATCTAAATAAGTTTTACTATATGAACAAGCTAACACAATCTGTTTTATACAAGTCCGGCTAATTCCCTTCAAAAACTCAAACATTACAAATGTCAGCAATCCCCTCCAAAAACTCGAGAAAGCCCTGATTCCACTTCTTTTATACCCATCACATTTGTGTAATTACCAACGAAATAATTTCAACCATAATGTTATCCAAAAGCCACAAAATCGAATTTTAAGTAGTCGATGGGAAACCTAGGTTTTAAATCCAAAAACCCATGTTGCAAAAACTTAATCGAACAAATGAACATCAACTAGATGAGTATTATACTATAAAAGAACCTCAAATACAAAAACACATTGGGCTAACCAATCGTTTTAACTCACCCGTAGATTTTGTGCCTTAAAACATAGCGCGAACGACTGTCTTCGAATCTAGGCGATGAAGGTTGCCAGCTTATGGTGATTTCTGGGCTACATTCCACCAGTGACGGCGGAGTGAGGGTGTAGGCGACGGTGGAGAATAGGTGAACGCAACGGCGGCTCAGATCGTAGACTACTCTGTAATCTTGTCGATGAAGAGAAACACTTCAATTTTTCTATGTGTTTTGATTGTATATATGAACGTGTGAAAGTCATAGAAAGCGCATTCACACTTTTCATTTTTATTTATTTTTTTTTGTAAATAATTTTAGATTGGATTTATTTTAGTTAAAAAAAATTATTGTAAATAATTTTTGAAAGTTATGGAGAGCGTGTATTTTTTTAAAAAAATAATTTTAGATTGAATTTAATTTTTTAATTTATAATATTTACTTTTTTTGTTATGGTGTGTTCTCATAACAAATATATATAAGATGATTTTTTCGTCAAAATTGTATTTGTTACGGATAAATTTTCATAACAAAAGAAAAAAAATGTTGACCACCAAATTTGTTTTTTGTCTCGATATAATTCGTAACAAAAACCACTTTTTGTGACGCAATAATTTTTACGGAACAATAACCCGTTACAAAAGCTCAATTTTTTGGTAGTGTGTTACACATTTAGTTAGGGGGTCTGCTAACAAAGACTTTGTTCCTAAATGCTCAATTGAAATCTGATGATCTTTCACTTTCTTGTTCATAACTAGGAACTTAATGTCAATATATTTTGAACTGGACAAACTCCTATTCTTATTGGAGTACTCAACGGCTGAATTGTTTTCATAAAAAATATTGATAGGTTTTTCAACCATCAGAATGATTCGCAGCCCTGTGACAAGATTCTTAAGCCAAATTGTCTGCTGTGAAGCCTCAAAACACGCTACAAACTCAGCTTCCATATTGGAACTGGTAACGAGTATTTGTTTGGCATTGTGTCAAGCGATGGCCCCTCTAGCCAATATATAAACATAATCAAATGCAGATTATCTACTATTTTGGCATCCCGCAAAATCGGAGTCAGAGTATCCAACGATTTTCAAATGGTCTAACCTCCTATATATAAGCATGTGATTACTAGTTTTCTTCAGGTATCTTATCAATCTTTTGACTGTCTTCCAATGATCCAATCCAGGATTATTGAGGTATCTGCCTAACACACCGACTATGTACGCAATATCTAGACGCGTATATATTTGTGCATACATGAGGCTCCTAACTGCCGAGGCATAGGGGATCTTTTCATTTTCTAGATTTCTAAATTTACTTTACGGCACTGGCTGAGATTTAATTTATTTCCTTTAGCTACAGGGGTATCTCCTGGCTTGTATTTCTGTATGCTAAATCGTTCGAGTACTTTATCGATATAGCTCTTTTGAGATAATCCAATAATACACTGAGATCTATCACGATATATTTGGATCCCTAATACAAAATATGCTTCACCAACATCTTTCATCTCAAAATTACTTGAAAGAAATTTCTTAGGGTGTGTTTGTTTGGGGGTTTGGATTTTGAGTTTGAATTTTTGAAGATTTTGAAATAAGAATTTTTAATTTGTGTTCGTTTGAGAGTTTGAATTTTGTAATGATTATGTTATAAAATATTATTTTTAAATTAATTGAGTTGAAAGTTTGATATGATGTTTTGAATAATAAATATTTTGTATTAATAAAAAATTTTAATTCAAATTTATTTATTTAATAATTAAAATTTTGAAACTTACAAAAACTACCTATTCCTTTCTAATTTTCTATACAAGTTTTAATATTATAATTCTATGTTCCAAAAAAAAATTAGTTTTTTTAAAAGATATTTAATTAAAATACTTCCTCCGTCTCATAACTAAATATTCATTTGCTTTTTGCACGTAGTTTTAAAAGTATTAGTATTATATTGGAATGTAGTAGAAATAAAGTAAAAATGACTAAAATAACCTAATTAGTATGTGTGATATAAAAGTAATGACATTTTTGCAATATTTGTAAGTTGTAAGGGTATTTGTAATGTTAGATAAATAGTACAGTTACTAAAAAAGAAATGGATACTTTGTTATGGGACGGACTAAAATAGAAAAATGAATACTTTGTTATGAGACGGAGAGAGTGTTATTTTAATAAAAAATTTAAACTACCAAACTCGAAACAAAACGAAAAAAATTCACCTGTAAATTTTTGAATTATCAATATTTTATATTATATAATATTAAATATAAATATATAAAAATAATTTTTTCAATTAATAATATCATTATTACAATTACCTTACCAAAATTTTAAAATAAAAAAAAAAAGAGAAAAAAGAAAAATCACATTTATTATTGTTGTTTCTTCTTTTTTTCATCTCCCCTTACTCCTCATTTTCATTTCTGTTTTTCAATTTCTTTTCCACGAGATTTCTATTGCTGCCTTCGGATCCAAATCCATTCAACACTGTCGCATCTCCTCCCGATTAGTGCTACCACACCAGTATTCCGGTCTCCGAGACACGACTGAGGAGTCTCGTTGCCGGAAGAGGTAGGAGGTCCGATTTCCATCCGTAAATTTTGGCACATAATTGAAAGAGGAAGAACGCCGACGGAACAGATCCTTGACAGATGTTCGCCGTGGAATTATTTAACCCCTCCATCCAATGAAACCCACCGATTACGAACTCCTAAGGGGGAAAATGCTTACGGGAGATTTTAATGGCCTTGGCCGTACGTTCGTCCACCTGATTGAAACACGTGAATGTGTCGACAACTTCTGACGAGAGGAGCAGGACTATAGGATATAGGTTATAGGGTAGGGATTTTCAATTAATTTGGTAAAACAGTGATTGTACAGTAGAATTCTTATGAAACCTGCGAAACGAACAAAACCTTAGTTTCTTGCAGTGTGCACACATAGTTTGTGGCAAGCAGAATGTTGTCCACATACAAAACTAAGAAAATAAACTTGCTCTCACTAAATTTTTAATAAAAAAAAGTTATCAACAACATTCATCTTAAAACCATATGAGAGAATTACTTGATGAAATTTTTGATACCACTATCGAGACGCTTGTTTGAGCCCATTGATGGATTTTCTTAATTTATAAATCATTTGCTTTGGATCACCGACCTCAAAAGTTTCTGGTTGTACCATATAGATCATTTCATAAATATCACCATTTAGAAACGTCATCTTGACATCCATTTGATGGAGCTCTAAATCAAAGTGTGCCACTAGAGTCATGATTGACCTAAAAAAGTCATTTGAAGAAACCGGAAAGAAAGACTCTTTATAGTCAATCTCATTTGTCTGAGTATAGCCTTTAGCTAAAAGACGTGTTTTACATCTTTTCACATTACCATTTGTATCTGGTTTGGTTTTAAAGAGATCCATTTGCAACATACGGATTTTGCACCCTCTGGCAATAGGACAAGCAAACTTTATGGTCTTACATTAACTTGTACTTATCACACATTGCATCGACCCATTTATCTCAATTAGGACCCTTCATGGCATGATAAATATTAATTGGATCATCCTCAGTCATGCCATCATTGTCCTCACTTTCTTGAAGAAATGTCACATAATCATCCAGAATGACATTTCTTCGCTCTCTAATGGATCTACGCAATTGCGTTGGGTTTAGATTTGTATGCTATTGAGTTTTTTGAGTTTGTTCCACAAGCATAGGTTCATATTCTATAGAAACGGATTCCTCAGTCGTACTTTGCAATTTTATGAGAGCTGAAATGACTACTAACTCATGAGGTGTTTGGCCAATCACATCAGTGATTTATTAATCCTCAAAAGTGAAGTCTAAAAGTGTATTTCTCTCCTCAAACTCAACATCCTGAAAGAACTTGGTAGTATCCGTCTCAAAAATAGTTCTTGTTGTGGGATCATAAAATTTATACCCCCTTGACCGTTTCAAATAGCCAATAAAATAATTGTTCACTATACGAGGTGCTAGCTTTAGTTCATTTGGCCTATAGGCCTTCACCCCAGTTGGACAACCCCATACGCAAAGATGATTTAAGCTTGGCTTGCACCCAATCCATAGTTCATATGGTGTTTTGGAAATCGCCTTAGTTGGCACTCGATTAAGGATGTAGACTGTTGTGTTTAGTAGTTC